GGGACACAGGAGGTTAACAGCATTTTCCTTTTTTTGGGGGGGTTTAAATTTTTTTTTAAGGGGATTCCCCCCCCCCCCCCCCCCCTTGTTCTGTCCACAGACCTGAGAGGGCAGCCACGAATGATGTAGATCGCCAGAATTGACACAAAGTTGAACTGGAAGTACAGCGGGAACAGCTTCGACTGTCACCGGGAGAGGAAACGAGGGGCGATTGATAAGATGACAAACAAACGTCGCGTTTGTTGTGCACGTACCAGCAAACGATGCCGTAGCATGAGACGAGCCGCTGGGTGCTTCAATCGAAAGTCGGCAACTTGTCATCTTCGTTCAGACCTGCAGCTGCTAAGCAACTTGGCTCAGCTTCAGGATCACCTGCAGCTTCCCGAAGGTCTGGCGTGGGAGATTCCGCATCATGGTGATCCCCGCAAAGAAAGTTGTCCACAGCGTTGATCCCATCCACGCGTTCAACGCGACCATGTGAACCATCTGTGGTGGCCGGTTTTGAAGGGGACATGCGCCGACTTTATTTTCAATAGTTCTGTCGCATTTCTTGTTCTCGTTGCCCCATGTGGTATCTTCGATAGCCGTTTATTCCTCCCTCTTACGATCTTGCCCTTCTAACTGAAGAGCTTGGGGGCACACATGATAATTCCCGCTACGAATCACTCCTTCGCAATTTTAACGAGTGGTGACTTACAAAACTATCAACTTCACCTTGCGTGTCTTAGCTAAGCCCGAATCAAGTGCTCCGGCTAAGTTGCCGCCGTACGCTATTTTATACGACTGTACGAGGATACGTGAGAGTATTCAAAAAGATAGTCAATCACGTAACCGAGTGTGAAATGGGGGTTGGTCATGGGGGCTGGTCACATACATGGACAGGATGACAGCACGAGCACGGGTTCACCTTGGCCAAATTTCCGGGTACGAGCATAGCGCCTTTCGAGGCAAGGCCGGCGGCGGTCAGAATGGCTGCAACTCGCACAGGATTCTTGTTGTGGATGGCCGGCTGGATGAAGGCCTGCTGCGCCGATGGATCCCACTTACTCAAGCTTTGCACGCCGCTGGGGCCCGCTTCCGACTTTGTCTCCATCGCAGTCATCTGGCAGTGGAGAAAAAAAACGCTGTCAACAGGACTTCATAAAGTTTTCGCGTGTGGACGCCGCCAACTTGTGTACGTACCGCCACCGTTCACCACCATCGTATCCAAACAGGTCAGTGAAGAAACACAGGCGCTCTACCACGCCGATGCAATCCCTCGCAGAAAGGTCTTCGAACAACTCGATCAAGACAACATCATGATGTGGTAAATTACCCCTCCCGCTCCCCGAAAGGGATCAACCACTAAAATTCCCACGGAGGAACCTTAACCTTTACCCCCCTCGCCCACTTCATCCCTCCTTCCTAATCGCCCCGGCGTTCTAGTTGGTATCCTCGAAACCTTCTAGAGGTCAGGTCAGAGGTTCGAATCCCGGCGTAAGCGAGCTTTTCTCTTCATAGTGAGTTTTTATCTCGCTTCCGCTCCTGGCCTAGTGGATAGCGCTAGTTCGTGTGTACACAGAGGGAAGAGAGTGCTGAATTCTTCTCGCATTAAAAATCGAAGGCAAAGTACCGAAGGAGGGGAGGGTAGAGAGAGGCTCTTCTGTGTGACCACGGGATAGAGTAAACGGCACTAGTGCTGTGAGCGCTGATTTGAAGTGAAGACAAAAAAAAAAAATCCTCCCTCCCCCTCGGCCATGAATTGAATATACCGGCTATGAACGAACTCATCAGGCTCTGTGTTCTTCTTATAATTGTTTTATCACTTGGGGGTACTCGGACTCAATACTGATCTACAGGGTCCATGGAGGCCATGTGGACGAAATAGATATGATGGACGACATGACGAGCACGACTGTTGTTTCTTCCGTTTCTCGCCCGTTGATACTGCAATACAGTGGTAAAACTAGAGAGGAAGTTGATTCACTCCTCTTCTGTGCAAGATGCTGTTCGACGAGAGCCCTTGAGCGTGAAAACAAAGTACACGGGCCGACTGAGGCACTTGTCCAAGTGTATGTCATATGTACGTGTCGATCAACGAGCCGCGCTTCAAGGTTTTATATAATTTTAGGACTGAAGCAGAGAGGGGTGCAGAACGCCCACGCACCGCAGAAGCGCATGCCCTCCGACACACTCCCTCCTTCACAGTTTCGGTCACGTATCGATCTCCGTTATATTGAAATGCCTGCCAGCAACCTTGCATGGGCAAGTGGGTAAAATGTTGTTATGACCCTCTGTTGGTGCACTCGCTGTGTAAGGCCGACGAGACGTATACACGCCAGAGCTGGGGAGCGCGAAGCGCGCTCCAGTAGCTCGGTATAGTGACCTGGGCCTACCCACTGCACAACAACCTAGCTTCGGGTGTGGGTTAGGGTTAGGGTTAGGGTTAGGGTTTAGGGGTGGGTTAGGCTTAGTGAGGCCTAGCGCTGTGGTGTAGCCTGGGGGCTGGAAACCTGCTAATAATAGTGGCTTGGTTTCGTGTCTGCCTCCAACCACAACACAAAAAATGTTGAACTGGCGAGTGCAAGAGAGTCGACAGCTTTGGCGTATGCATATATACGCGCGTCCGCAGTTGGCCGACATGATGGTATGTGTACCAGCACTGCATGGTTCATCTTTCGACAGCTTTGGCGTATGCACAATACATGCGCGTCCCCAGTAGGCCGACCTGTGTGGTTCATGTTGTACACTTCGAGAGGATAACTCATTCAAAAGAGTGCGAGGTACGTGACACACTCAACCCCATAAAAAAATATCTGTAAGCTATCCCAAAACCATAAACTACATGAAGACCCCCCGCCCCTCTTGTCTGTCTCTGATTGTTTTCAGAGGACTTACGCTTCGAAGTAGAACAGTTTGGAGCAACCATATGCTGTAGACTACATGTACATCAAAAGGCGGTGTATCCGGGTCTGCTGCTGTGTGCCCTTGAGGCAAGAAATATGACTCCAACAAACATTCAGAAGGCATCGGTCCACCGCTACATTTCGTCACAACTCAGGATATTTACGGCAACATCTCTTTCCTCACCATTCGTCGAATGCCCCCAGGTGCAACAGCAGCTCGATGTGGAACGCGCATGGGACAGAAGGCATAGGTTGAACCTCCCAAGAAAGACGCTGCCGACATGAGCAACAGCAATCTCATTGTTGAGAAGACGTCTCCAGAAAGTGACAGCCCCTGCCCCGTTTAGTAGCTCTCCTGGATAACGATCCCTCCCCCTTCCTTTCAGCAATGTCCTCGTAGAATCGGTGTTTCCTTGCCAGCACCGATATCCTTCCTGGCATCATTCGGCAGTCCTGAGCTGGCGCCCGGGTGCGGCGGAACAAGAGAGAATCTGAGCGAGAACAAAATTTTCGGAGAACCAAAAGCGTTGCAGTACCAGGTACCAGGGCCGCAGGTAGCAAGGCCTAGCGTGTTGCCTGGTGCTGTCATCGTTGTTTACTGCCTGTGGGTGGAGAGAGACATACAACAGGAGATAGATAGTATCAAAGATGCGGCGCTCCGTGGTTTTAGCTTGTATCGCGCTGACCCCAGGCGTAGCGTTCAATCCAAATAATCAAGCGCGGTTGCGCATGCAGCAGGGCTTTGGAAAGCAATCACAGAGCAAGACTCCAGCAAAGCTCAAGACGCCAGCAAAGGCACCACCCCCGGCCGTTCCGAAACAGACCCCTGTGAGAGCAGGAGAACTGCCGGAGGATGCCTTCTCGCAGTTTCCGCCTTTGACCCAAGAGCAGAAGCAAACCCTCGAGAAAGCTCCAGGGGGCAAGGCAACGGACTTCCCTGTCGAGGTGAGGATGCAACCGCTGCGCTGTTGGCGGTACATTGTTATGCAGCTTCGACAATCCTGCGTTTTACGAGCCCGCCTGTTTTCATGATGCTTTGGTTTGTTTTATGGATAGAGTGGCAGACATGCCATACGAACTTGAAGTACAAGGGACAAAGAAACGTCCCGTGTATTCAAAACTCAAAACATCCAAGTACCTCGGACCCGCGTTGGTTCGGCCCAAATCTCTCGCTGGGTCCGCCTAGAGCTCAGGTTGGTTCAGCCCAAACCATTGGCTCATGTGTGGTCAACAATGGGCGACGTGCCCTTCTCTCCAGACGTCTGCTGAAGTCATGTGTATGGCCTCGTGTCATTGGCCGCTTTTTGTTGCGATGGCCAGTCTGTGCCTCTTGACTGCGTTTTCGACTTGTTATAATCAACAGCAGTGTTTGCAGGACAGGCCTACAGGACCTACTGCAGGCCGTTCAAGAAAAAAATGGTGATGATTTGAAGCACCTTTCGGATTAAGTTCACGGCTCCTGTGATCTACAGACGTGAAATCGTTTTGCAACACCTACTGAAGGCAATGTGTGACCTGGTGGCGTTGATCCCTGTGGATGTCGACAACGTAAAACTTTCTACAACGGTGTCCCTCTTCCTAACTTGATCGCTTGTGGCATTGGATGGGACCCCCACCCACCCACCGCCATGATTCCGTACTATTTAATAGTTTCGCGTTTCCGCTTTCCTCCAAAGTTGCACTACTAGCCGGTCACGGATATCCTACATGCAGCGTCCTTTTGGATTTCAGGAATTGTACGAGTTGCTAGGGTCCCGAGTTTGGCTTTTCCCTCCTAACTTTGTCGACGGTCCCGATCTGTCGTACCAAACGGCTTTCTGGGCGAATAGCCTGTGCTTTCCGCTTTAGAAAACACCGCTTGTTGACTGTGTGTTGTGCAGCTCTTGAAGCAATAAACGAACAAACAGGATTCTCGGGGGACCTGTTGACAGCCTCTAGAGTACTGACGCAGCAACTGGTCAGCGCACCACCCGTACTGACCTAAAGCAGTCTGGATCCCACCACAACGATGTTTCAAGTTGTGAAGGAGGCCCGGTTTGGGGGAGACTACTCGAAAACCTTCAATAGCACAGACGGGGCGACTGCTGTGCGCGCGTTTGCTCGCCAAACTGCTCAGGCGGCAACTTCAGAGGCAGCAAAGGAGGGTGGTGCAGTGAGCCGACTGAAAAAATGGGATAGAACCTGTGGCTAGAAACGGGCACCAACAGGAATGCTCATCTGAGCATGTAGCGGAGTACCCTGTCATACCGTGCTCCAACCTCAATTGGCCGCGCAACTGTTTAAAAATTAGCCTTGTTCGATGCAGCGGGTTGACGTTTGTTTCCCAGACAACGTCTACATGGTGACGAACGCATAGATTTTTTCAGCGTGAAGTGGCCGTCGTGAACCACACTCTGTTGACGTCTGTGAGTCGCCACCCCGCCGAGCCAGCCCAGCATTTCAATATTTGCAAGCATTTCCTTCGGGAAGGAATAGGCCTTTTCAAACAGAATCATCACAGGTGACACATGCTTCCATTCGTACCACTGACGGCCGCACACCGCTTGTGTCTTGTGTGCGCGCTCTCCAGGTGGCGGATCGGATTAGAGAACGACACGGCTTTGAGCACTTCGACGAAAAGTTGTTCCCGGGCATCCGTCTTCTACACGCGGACCCCGTTGTATTTGAAGTGGAGGGATTTTTCACACCTCAAGAGTGCGATGCGTACATCGCGATGTCCACGTTGAAAAAATCGGGGCGGCGAAAAGGAGGCCTCGTGCCTACGGAGCTGCAGAGCGCAACTACTAGCTCTCAATTCCAGCAGCAGCGGACGTCAACCACTTGGTTTCACCATTACGCGTCGGCCCCAGAGCTGGTGGCGAAGGCATCGTTGCTCTTGGGTGTAGACGACTACTGCAAGTGGGAAGAGCCTCAGACTGTTCGATACCGACCAGGCGAGAGATTCAATTGGCACCTGGATGCGCTCCCTCCCAGCGAATGCGGAGCGAGCAAGGGGGGTCAACGAACAGCTACGGTCCTTGTGAGTCTGCGTATGTAGCACGAAGTATCGCTATTTCGTCACGCTGCCAGTCCTCGGCATATGGAGATCCAAGTTCAAGCCGCTGGCTTTGGTTTTGTTGGTATAGTCTCTGAGCTAGACACCTCCACTATTCGAAGGTCGCGGGTCTTCCTGTTTTTTTGCAGCTAGCCAACAGTAGTTTTGAGAGATGGCGACTGGTAAGGGCATGACTCGGCCGAACTGGGTGCTTGGATTGGGATCGAAATCTGCCAGTATATCCACTGGAAAATATGATCTTGACAATATTAACATGGCCGGTCTGACCTCTACATCCAATGCATTCTATTTCGTGTTTTTCAAGGTAAAGAACCGAGTTTCCGTATTCACAAGCTTACCCATGGTCAGGAATGCGCTGACATTTAATACCCAGAGAACGTTCACGGCTCGCGAAAACTACTGCAGTACAAACTAAACCAGCTCGAGACAGGACCGGAACGAACTCTAAAAGGACAATCGCACTCTGTAAACGTGTTCACTGGTATAGAGTTTCCATCCTTGTAAGACTCGCCTCCAGAGTGAGCTCATGAGAGCGCACAAGCAGGGGGCGATGCAAGACTGAAAGGCCATTCATCCCCTTGCCGCCCAAGGATGCTCTGTTACAGGTATATTTGGGTCAGGTCGTGGTTTGAGGGCCTCGCTCAACAGCAACACATATTTTCGACTTGTTCAGAATTTTCAACACGATCGGGCACTTCCACTCAACTTGCACTATAGTCTAGAGAAGAAGGGACATGTCCGGGAAGGAAGCTATATCGTATATTTGCCGACAACTCGCTTGTGGTTGACAGCATCGAACGTTTGGCATGAGTGGACCAAGAATATTAGTACCTTCTAACCTTCGCCATGTTGTGAAACGTTTGTTAACTCAGGTGTACTTGACAAATATGCACGCAAACGGCGGAGGGGCGACGGCATTTCGTGATCTGGGGCCTCTTCGTGTTCGACCCAAGAAGGGGAAATGCTTGGTGTTCTTCCCCTCGTTTGGGGGGGAGGCTGGCAGCCCCTTCGACAGCAGGGTTCTACACGCGGGGGAGGTTGTAGGCCAAGGCAACAAGGCCAAAGAGAAGTACATTGCGCAGCTCTGGTGTCACAAGAAACCGTACCCGCCGTCGGTGCCCGAGGGATCTTCCCACGAGGCAGCCGAGAAGCCGATTGTCGACTACGTACGGCGTTTTGCGGAGGCAGGAGTGAGCCTGGAGTGATGCTGCTGCGCACTGGGCCCCCTGTGTAGCGTTTGATGTTCAAGTGACTTGATGGAGCAGAGTTGGTAGCGTACAGGGGTACAGCACGTTGTGTCGTTCGTGTTCGTTGCAGCCGAGAACAGCCGTACGCTCGCTTGTGCTTGTATTGCCGTACTGCCCACACCGTGTGTTCCCACTCCAAGGGGGCCACGACGTTGCGTTGATGTACATGAGTTTTTCGAGGTAGTTTGTTAATGTTATCTTTGACGAAACACGCTCTCTGGAGAATGCCCTATATTGTGTGTGCCTTTATTGCGTGTATCTGGTGCATTTTTTTGTGCCCCAAGCCATAAGTGTTTGGGGTGGGCAATTGTCTCAGAAAACAACAGCAATGTTGGCACCAAGAAAAGCTGTGACACACTAGCAAGGCGCTTGCCACGGAGATTGCTTCTTCGTCATCATGCCATTTTTAAACCGTCCTCGCGGTTTCCAAAATACCTTGCTGTACGACCAATTCCCAAGAACTGAAAAGCTCCGAGGTCCGGGTTCGCACACTGCGGCGCATGCGTTAATATTGATGAAAACACGCGCTATGGTTTAAGTCTCTTGTGCGTTTATAGCGGGGCAAACACAGCCGGCGGTGATGTGTGTGCGTTTTTACAAACTACAGCAATAGGAAGGGGCCATGTGGAAAACATATAAACCCCGCAGATTGCGTGTCAATCTTGGTCGCGCGGGGGGGGGCAGGGGGAGAGGAGGCCTTATATGTCCCCCGGGGGGGGGGGGGGGGGGGGGGACTCTTTTGTTTTGCTTTCCTTAACGGGTAAAACCGTTGACCACCCGTCCCCCAAAAGGAGGAAAAATTTTTCCCCCGGAACCAACACCCAAGGGCCAACCTTTCCTTTCCACTTTTTCCAAAGGGGGTCCAAAAAGGCCAACCCAATTTGGCTATTCCAAAGGGATCCCTTCCCCCCCTTTTAAACCCTTTCTAATCCCCCGTAAAGCTACCGGCCCCCCCCCTCTGTTTCCAGGCTCCAAAAACTCCCCGGGAGGCCCCTGGGATTTTTCCCCCTCCAGCCTG